GGCCGCGCGGCCTTGGCGGCAGCGGCCGCCGCGCCGCGGGCCCGTCACGCTGACTGCCAGCTCCGGCTCGGCCGGCCGTGTTTGCACTGTGCAGCGGGATGACGGTGTGCCGCGCCGACTACTCACGACGTGCAAAGCGGCGGGCCCGGCGCTGGAGTGCGGCGCGGTGCCGGCCGGCCGGCCGGACCGGTGCGTCTGATGGAAGCGGCCGGCGCCGAACGCCCACTCGGGGCATGATGTCAGCTCGTCGTGATGGCATCGCTCGTGCATGGCCAGGTGCAATCCTGGCGTGCTTGGTGAGATCACCCTTGTCGAGCCCATCTCGGCGTGTCTTCCGCAACCCGCGCCGGATTGGGATCTGGTGTTTTGCAGCCTGCAAGGACTAGGCTATTGTATCCCGTGGCTCAAACGGGTCTGGGACGCCGTGTGCTGCAGGCCGCACGAAGCTGGGATGTGGCGTCACGCAGCGCGCTGGCGGCAGGGCTGGCGCGACCGCAGACCGGTGGCGACTGTGATTGATTTGATGCCCAAGCTGGACGGGGTTTTTGCGCGTGGCCGCCCACACGAGGCGTGTGATCGAAGCGGATCCGCGGCCAGACCGCGCCGGGCTTGGTCTGGCCGAGCCGGGGGCGGGCTGGGCCGAGATCCGGCCAAGGCGAACGCGAGACGCCCGGCCGCGTGTCTGGTGGGCCGCGGCAGACAGCGGATCGGCGCCGCCGGTGCTGGGACGTCCCTGCAGGGTCCGATGACCGTCGATGACCGTCACGTGCCTGCCACGTGTTGTCACACACCTGTCACGGACTGTCACGCACCTGTCACGGGCTGTGACACACCCACAGGGGCGTACGCGCGTAGTTGTCCCCAGGAGGTACGTGTCCCCCTTACCAAGTCTATCACGTGACACGCATTGACATGCGCCTGGCCACGCGCTGACAGCTGAACATCTCAGGAAGACACGCACAAATAGGAACGAGAACGCGCGATGTGTCTTGCGGCATGCAATAATTTGGTCGTTGGCTGTCGTTGTCTGTCGTTGACGTGCTGGCCGGCCGAGGAAGCTCAACTCGGTTCTCAGTGAAATGTTTTAGGACCTCCCCGTTTTGAAATCCTGATCGTGCCCTTGCATACCTGTCACGGACCGTCACAAAGTCTGGCAACAACCGGAACCGCATTCATTGACTGAGGTAAAACTTTCCAGCTTTGCGAGGAGGAGTGGCACATTGATTCTGTGACGTCATGTTTCTACATAACGTCCATGGTCGTACGCTGGAAGCATGCGGGACCCATGGAAAGAAGCACGGGGCTTATGAGCATAGGAAGGGGTGAGGCTGTGCCCCGCTGAATTGCGATATGTTAAAAAAAAGCCCACCCATGCTGGCCAGAAGCAGATCAGTCTGCCACAAACGTAACAACTGGCCGGCCGTCAGCGGCGGCCTCTGATTGGGTCGTGGCCGGGCCGTGGTTTTGTGACCAGCACGCACCAGTGCCGCTCGTGCCGCCGCGTGCATCAGATACGCGGGCGGCGTGGCCGGCCCGGCTCCCGGCGCGGCACCTGCACCGCGCACCGGTGCCCGGTGCGGCATCTGCAGCCCAGGCCCCGCCCGGGGCCGGCCGCGGCGCTGGTGTGGCGGCCCCGCCCGGTGATCAGCGGCGGTTGTGGGCACGACACCGGGCGTGCCGCCGGCCGGGCGCGCTGAGCCGTGGTCGGCAGATGGCCGGCCGGGCCTGGTCTGGGCCGCGCCTCAGGGGCCAGACATGGGGTGTCGTTGCATGACCCAGCGCGCGGCACCGCCCTGCTTCGGGACTTACCTCGCCCGACCGCCGTGTGCCACGTGGTCGCCACCCGTCCTGACGTTGGTCTGGCTTGGTTTTGTGTGCATTTGAACCCTCTCAGCCAGTAGTAACCATTTCAAGGCTATGAACTGAAGGAGTGTGGAAAGTGGCGGAGCCAGACTGTATTGCACCTGGCAGTCTAGCGCCACCTCGCACATGGGTTCGGCGTATGTGCCAGCACCCGGGCGGGCTCCCGCGAGGGGACAGGGAGGGGTACACTTACGCATGCTCTTGGCTAACGTATACGGTTTGCCCCGGGCGAACGGGGCGTCGCGGGGATGCAGCAGTCGTGCGCCAGGCGCTCTCTGATCTCTTACGAGACTATTCGATTGTGATTAACAACGGCTATATTTTCGATTTTCTTGAAGACGTGCAGTGCCGCGCCATATATCTGACGTGACATTGTCTCCTTCCTGTTCTCATTCGTCACTTGAATAAGAAGTACGTTATGGGCGCCTTTGACCAGGGCAGTCGGCGCGCCCAAAAGTCCAAATCATCATCTTCATCGTCATCACGGGGATGCACGATGAAGCGTAGGTGAGGAAAGCTAGGCGGGCTCTGACGCAAGAGACGGCGGCGGGATGGATGCCTTGCCCCTCGCATGTACCCCCGAGTTCAGCAGCGCCCGCTGTCTGCGGTGGTTTGACCAGCCTTGCCTGAGCTCGCGCTGACCCGTGCTGGCTGCGTGCGGGCGCCGTATTTTTAGTGGCGTCGGCCACAATTGAACCCGGCTGTGTCGGCCGCCGCTGCCGCTGGAGGTCGGCCAACAATCGACTGAGCGGCGGCGCTTTTTGTCGGCTACCTCAGCCGTCGCGCGCGCCCGCGCGTGCCGCCCCTGTTTTTGCTGGCGCCGGCCGTACGCAGCGCGGTGCCGTCCGTTTTTGCGGACGGGCGCGTGGCGAGTGGGGGCGGTGTCGAACACGCGCCAGCGCCGCCCGGCCGCGCCCAGACGCGCCTCGCCGCCGGACGGCTGGCGTCGGGAGCTGCCGGCCGCCACAGCTGGCGGCGCTGAGGCGCACCGGCGCCGTCAGGCCCTCGTTGCCGCAGCTGCCGCGGCGCGTCCGGACTGCAGGCGGCCGGCCGCGGCGCGCCGGACCGCCCGCCCGGACGACTTCCACTGGCGGCGCGGCCGGCTGCACGGGAAACACCCCGCCACCTCTGACGTGATGTGTTGACGCGACGGCGCGGGTGGCCGCCGTGTCCGACTGCGGAGTTCGCGCCGCCGCCGGTCGCAGTCCGTGCCGGTCTGGGCCCGTCTGAGGCCTGCCTGCCGGCGCCCACAGGGCTGCTGCGGTGTCGCCGGCCGCGAGCTGGCCGAGTCTGGGGCCAGCCTGCCGGCGCCCTCCGACACAGGGCTGTGGCGGTGTCACCGGCCGCGAGCTGGCTGGGCCCGTCATGCGGCTATCGTCGGCATGACTGGCAGCGCCGCGCCGCCGGCTGGAGTGGGGAGGGGATCGCCTTGGATTGGAGGAAAATCGCCGCGATTTAACTTGGTCTGGATGATACGCTGGAGTAGATGCTGAGCTGTTTCGCTGAGTTAAACATGTTGTGGCCGTCCGGGGTGCTGTTTTTATTGTCGCCTCGGAAACTGGTCTGGTAACCTCTGCAAACCAGGCATAGGTCATCATTGCGAAATGGCCAGTGCGCGGTCTGATCAGCGTGACGTAATCTTTTTTATGAGCTGCTGTTTGCGCGTGAACATCGCAGGATTTTAGTCTAGAAAACTGTAATGTAATGCCGCTGTGAGCTTCGTTAGCCCTCATTCCGTGTTTTCAGTCAACTCAAAGTACCTCATATGTTTGCTTCATGGTTATGCCGTATATTCCTGAGACACTGACCTGGGTGGTTGTAGTGACTGTGCAGTCCTTCGGTTCTCAAGAAAGCTGGGCGCTACCTTTGCGCAAGACCCGTACTGTTGGGCTGTTGGTGCCAGCGGATCTGAATAGCCCGCGCAGCCCGGGCGGCGCCTGGATACGACCCCCGGTTTGCAGAGACCGCCGCGGGCCGCTATCGGCTCTTATGATGCATGACCTAACGGGCGTCGCTCGTGGCAGTGGGCGGGATGCCGCTGTCGGCGCTACGTGACGAGAGGCCCGCGTGTCAGCCCCGTGCGATGTGTGACCCCCGTGTCAGCCCCGTGTGATGCGAAGCTCGCTTGTCGGCTCCGTGTGATGTGAAGCCCGCTTGTCGGCTCCGGTGGTGTGAAGCCCGCGTGTCGGCTCCGTGTGATGCGAAGCTCGCTTGTCAGCTCCGTGTGATGTGAAGCCCGCGTGTCGGCTCCGTGTGATGTGAAGCCCGCGTGTCGGTTCCGTATGATGTGAAGCCCGCGTGTCGGCTCCGTCTGATGTGAAGCCCGCGTGTCGGCTCCGCGTGACGTGTGATAGCGGCTGCTGACGTCTGGGTGCCGGCTATTGCAGGTGCCGCCATGCTGTTGTCGGCCCCGCTGGTGGCCGGTGAGCCGCGTCTGCCCCAGCCCTACCCGCCGCTGTACACGCCTTCGCTGGGCTGCTTGATGAGTGGCGGCCGCGATGTGTTGAAGCCGCCCGCCGCCGCCGCCGCCGCTGCCGCCGCCGCTGCCGCCGACCCGTCCGCCTTGTACCCGTCCTACCATCCTGGCGTGGCCGCCGCCGCCCTCCTGCAGCTCGGCTACCCGCACGGTACGCACGCCGTCTACCCGGCCTACACGTACGCGGGCTTCGCGGCGCCGGCGCCCTCGGCCGCGGCCGCCCATCCGCCGCCGCCGCCGCCGCCGCCGCCGCCGCCGCCGGCCGACTCCCGGCCGCTGTACCACCTCGGCTTCCGACCGCCGGCCGGCAAGGAGCCGCTGGTGGCGCCGCCGCCGCCGCCGGCCGCCAGGGCGGCGCCACGGCCGCCGCGCCCGCTGGATGCCGAGCTGCGCGGCTTCAGGCCGCCGCCGCCGGCCGGCGCCAAGGATGGCGTGCTGCGCGTACCGGCCCACTACCCGGCGCACGTGAGCGGCGTGTACGCGCCACCGCCGCCGCCGCCGCCGCCGGAGCTGGGCGCCGCCGCCGGCCCGGCCGGCTTCCCGTACGGCGGCCCGGCGACGCTCCGCCGGCCGCTCGAGGACGCGCCGACCGCGCGCATGTACGGCGGCGAACAGCCGCCGCCGGCTAAGCGCATGCGGTCCGGACCGGCGCCCGACTGTCCCGGCGCCGCCGCCGCCGCCGCCGCCGGCCGCACCAAGGCCGAGATGCCGGCGGCCGTCGCCAGCGAGCAGTACGCGCCGCCCGAGTACTTCCGGCTCGGCTCCATCATCGAGCTGGCCGACGGTAAGCGGGCACCGGGACGGCGGCATGTGACTCACGGCCGCCGCTATCGTCCGGGGCGGTGTCCTGACCCCGCACCGGCGGCCGCCCACTCGAGCTCCGTCCCCTGACGTCACGCCCCCGCCACACCGGCTGCCGGCGCGGCCGTGTTGACCGGCCGCGCGGCTTGGCGAACGAGTGCAGCGGCAGCAGCTGATAGGACGGTCGCGGCGGGGGCCGCCGCGGCTCTGTCAACATCCGGTGACGGCGTCCTGGGTTGCCGCGGTGTGGCGCTAGCCGGCGTGGGCGGCCACCCTCCGACCCGGACCACTCACGGTTGTTATCGCGCGCGCTAAGTCTTGTAGCCGCTATCGTTCCACGGCGGCGAACGTGGGCGATGCTGATGCGGCACGAGGGGGTCGATTGAACGGTCTGAACAGGGTCCCGCAGCGTTACTCGAGAAGCTGATAAAACTTACCCACAGAACCGGTGTTGCACCTGTCGACTGATAGCATGCTGATTGAAGTGAAGGTTCCCAACGCAGGTCACAAATACTGCCAATGGGCACTCCTGGCCAAATCCATCGACTCATACTTAACCTAAAGAGTCGGCCAAAATGATGCTGGCTCAACGTGTCCTGGGCAGAAAATCGAACCCGAGACCCGTCGCTCCGTGCCGACCCTTTGGCCGGTCGGCCATGACCGCTCGCACCGTCCGCCGGCAGGACGGCAGAAGCGGGTGGAGGAGCTGCAGACGGAGGACTTCGAGACGTCGGCCGACCTGTCCGCTGAGCTGAGGCTCGACCGCAGCGTCGTCACGCGCATCGAGCAGCTGGGCCGCACCGCGTACATCGTGTTCGCCGTGGGACCGTACCGGACAGAGGTGCGGCGCTGAACACGGGCACGGGGCGGGCCGGAAAGGTGTGCGATGCTGGACACGGGCACGGGGCGGGCCGGACAGGTGTGCACGGGCACGGGGCAGGCCGGAAAGGTGTGCGATGCTGGACACGGGCACAGGGCGGGCCGGACAGGTGTGCACGGGCACGGGGCAGGCCGGACAGGTGTGCGATGCTGGACACGGGCACGGGGCGGGCCGGACAGGTGTGCGGTGCTGGGCACGGGCACGGGCAGGGAGCAGGCCGGACAGGTGTGCGGTGCTGGACACGGGCACGGGGCGGGCCGGACAGGTGTGCACGGGCACGGGGCAGGCCGGACAGGTGTGCGATGCTGGACACGAGCACGGGGTGGGCCGGACAGGTGTGCGGTGCTGGGCACGGGCAGGGAGCAGGCCGGACAGATGTGCGATGCTGGACACGGGCACGGGGCGGGCCGGACAGGTATGCGGTGCTGGACACGGGCACGGGGCAGGCCGGACAGGTGTGCGGTGCTGGACACGGGCAGGGAGCAGGCCGGACAGGTGTGCGGTGCTGAATGTGTGTACGACTCACTGGACAGAGGTACATTACCGGGCGCCGGCATGATACACTCTGAGGTCATAGTGTAAGCGATGCTTTGTTCGCGCACCCAGCTGGAGAAGAGTGTGGGACCGTGGTTCCGGCGCTGCTTGTGTTCGATGAGTGCGGGGTACCGTTGTGGGGGTCGCGGCCGTTGAGGTTGATTTTGTTTGCTTGGTATGACAAATTCGATGACACTGGCTGTAGTCGGGGATAAATAAGGTGTCAGTAACCAACAGACCCATCGCCGTCGGCTGGATCACGATCCACGTGCATATTCTTCTGTCGTGACACTGAAAATTCACCTGATTGGGGGGCGAGGGCGAGGGGGATGTACAGCGCAGTGTACGCTGCGGCTCACCTGAGCCACGCCCGTGCGCTGCATGACGCCTCGCTGTCGATGTCCCCCAGAGCCCAGGCAGTCTGTATTGCATCATGCGATCAGATATACAAGTCGCATATCTGTCTAGGATGACCGTTGCTTGTGACCGATGTGCCGACTGGGGCGTGGGCCTGGGACGTAGCCGCGGTGCGTGCCGCGCGCGGCTGCGGTGTTACCGCCTGTGGTGGCCGCCAGGTGGCGTTGGAGGCGCAGCTGGAGCACCCGTTCTTCGTCTTCCACCGCGGCTGGTCGTCGTGCAGTCCGGCGCTGACGCTGCAGCTCTACAGCCTGCCGTGCCGGCAGCTGGAGGCGGGCGATGCGTGCGTTGTCGCTGGCGCCGCGGGCTGTCGCGCCGCCGCGGGCCGCCGCGCCGCGCGCGCCGCCGCGCCGCCGCGCGCCGCCGCGCCGCCGCGCGCCGCCGCGCCGCCGCGGGCCGCCGCGCCGCCTCGGGCCGCCGCGCCGCCGTCGGCCGGCCGGCGAGCGCGCGCCCGGCCCACCTACTAGCCGTCGCCAGCTGCCGCCCTGTGTGTGATCGGTGGGCGCGCGCCCAGCACCCCGCTTACCCGAGCGCCGCGTTGTGACCAGGCCTGGCGGGGTGTCGCCTCGGCCTGCGCTCAGCCCGGCTGATTGTATCCCACCCCGCCCCGCCCCGCCCGGGTGGGGGCGGCCGGCGGTGTCGATCCTCGCGATGGGGCCGACCGGTGCAGCCTGCTTTCCTGTTCTCCGCGGCGATCGTTGTGAATTCGCTGTCCGGTAGCGATCCGTGTAGTGGCGGTGTCGGCCGGAGATCGCTGTCGCCGCAGTGTCGGTCACGTGTGCTGGCGGCCGCGGTGACGCACGTCGGCGCCGTGCCAATCGTGCCGGGCCGTGACCTGTTTGACGGCGGTCCGTGGGGCCGGGCGGCCGTCAGCTGTGCGCCGCGTTCCTGCCCGGTGGCGGTCCAGCAGGGGACCGGACCGGGCGTCCGTCAGCTGTGCGCCGCGTTCCTGTCCGGTGGTGGTCCAGCAGGGGACCGGACCGGGCCATTCGTCCTGTGATATTTTTTATCTGTCGCGTCTGTTGCCGTTATGGCGCGCCGGCGTCGAGTCGCCACTGCAGGGCCGGCTTCCCTCCCTCCGTGTTCTCTCTCCGAGTGTGTTCGAGGCCGGAGTGTGTTGTGGGAGGGGACCGGCGGCCGCTGGGACGTGTCCTGTACCCTGGCGCCGCCTTGCGGACCGGAGGGGCGGCGACACCCCAGACTTTCGAATTCTCAGGGATAAACGCGGCGACAGCGAAGGCGACCGCCGAGCATAATATCACGCTGTGGTTTGGGACTTATTTTAATAGCTGTGACTAATAAAGCGTATTATTTTTCCGAGTCTGTTCGAGCTCCGAAGTGGAAATAAACTTGTACAATATGGTGCCGCTGGTTTAACTTGACACTTGCCTCCGGCACAAGGAATTTGAAATATCCACAGTGGAACGGCGTGTGGTCAAGCCTTCATCAATACTGCACAAAGTGGTGATTTGCCCTCTGATCTGATTAGATCCGCATTCAGAGCTGCGCGGTCGATGCACGTGGCGCAGTGCGGAGATGTGGGTTGGTGGAGCCCATAAACATTTTAGAAATTTCCCTGAGCAACGATAGCACCGTATCAGCTTATCAGAATCACATCGCATATGTCACTATTGCAAGCTCTGTCAAGACTACTGCACGGTGCTTGCTCTGTGTTTTTATGCACATCCGTAATATTGTACGTCTGATCTAGCGCTCCGCGGGCTTCTTTTTCCAAAAACTGTTCGGTGGGGAGCTCGTTTCCTGTCACGCGCCACGGAAGGCGACCATCGCAGATGAGCTCCGGAGCTACCGGAAGGGGGATAGCTTGAACACATGATGGTGGTGCCCGCGAATCCGAAGTTGGTTAGAGCATTGAAGGCCAGTGACGCGTTTACATCAACATGCATGGCTGGAGTCTTGCGCTGTTTGTGGGAATCCGGAGCCAAATTTGACAAGATCTTGAGTTGGGTCCGATAGTTTGGCAAGTTGGGTCCATGACGTGCAATGAGTACTTGGCAACCCAAAGAACGCTGGACCACTCATGCTCTGTGAAGAAGTTTCCACGAAGCTCTTACATGGTTGGCTGTAACGGCGGAGAGGTATGAAATAGCGCTGGAGTACGTCCATTCTGCGTGCGGAACTTTCCCTTCACATTTTTCACTTCAGATATGCTACCAAATATTGTCAAGTAATTTGGTAAAGCGGCATAATGTGCGCGCTTGAGCATAACTCGTTACAAGTCTTCATTACAATGCCGTGTTTTGCTGTTGTTAGGGATAAGTTAAGCTGCAGGAGGGGGATGTTTGGAGGAATGAGCCGTCCGATAGCAAGTCTGCTCAAAACTAAAATATCAGGGCGTCATAACTAGCTCCTTGTTGGCCATCTAGATCTTTCTTCAGACTTCAGCTATCTTATCTTGCGTCCCTTCCGCGGTATTCTTCAAGTACTTCACCTTTTTTAGAAGAAGAAAAATCTCCACCGCGAGCGTTTTACGCGCAGTGCGGCACGGGCTCAACCAGCTCGCGTTAGCAGGATTGCCCGACTTTGAAATCATACAATCCAAACGACATCTTTAGCACCAAAAATAATGAGCAGGCAATTAACACCATTCACTACGTCGTTTCGACCACTGCTACTCACAATGCTCGCATGATTGCCTATCATCTTCAAGAAATAACCATCTGATAATATAATAATTTCGGCCACAAACAGGTCATATGATTTTTAACACGCAGACAGCCGACGATTTATAGCATGTACTAAAAGGGCAACATAAGCACCAAATTACGTACATTCGAGCAATCAAGAAAAGTATCCCAGTTTTTCACATTCGTGTCTCGAATTGATATTTCCAAACAGACAGCACAGAGAAAAACCCAACAATGTCGGCGGAACTGAAGCATTTCCAGCAGTCTTAAAAAACGGACCAAGCCACGGGAATCAAACACCGAAGCCAAGCCAACGTTTTCGGTGCGGTACATTGACGTCTATTAGCGCAGTGCATCTCATACACGAGTCCGGATAATGTGATTCACACTTATTAGGACCAAACACATCGTGACGACATTGTCGCTTAAACTACAACACTTGGATTCAATTAATATGACTACTCCGTTTGCCGTGACATGCTGCCATCATGTCGTGCAGAGGGACTGTCGTAGTACCCTCTTAAAGTAGTGCACCTCTTGTACAATTCCAACGAGCAAGGCTTGAAATCGCTCTGACATCCAGAGACATACTCTGCCGAGATAATATGCCAACAGCCACCCTATGGAAACGGATCAAGCCTCGGGAAAGAAGACTGAAGCAAGGCCAGCGTTTCGGTACGGTACATATACGTCTATTAGCGTAGTGCACCTTACACACGAGTCCGGATCATGCGATTCACACTTACTAGGACCAAACACATCTTGCTGACGATGTCGGTGGATATGCCAGACCACGGTCCGATGAATAAGACTCATGCATTGCCGTCAGATGTTGCCATCATTGGCGGACGGACCGCAGTAGCACCCTCTTCAAGTAGTACACCTCTTGTATAATTCCAATTGGCGGGACCTAAAAACCGCTCTGGCATCCAAAGACATACTCTACCGAGATAATATGCCAATAAAAATCCTAAGGATACGGACCAAGCCTTGGAACCGAAGACTGAAGCTAGGCCAGCGTTTTCGGTGCGGCACATATGCGTCTATTAGCGCAGTGCACCTCATGCACGAGTCCGGATCAGGCGATTCACACTTATGGAAATTAAACACATCGTGCTGACAATGACGGTGGAACTGCGAGACTTCGGTCCGATGAATAAGACTGATGCATTGCCGTGAGATGCTGCCATCATGTGCGGACAGGCTGTAGTAGCACCCTCTTAAAGTAGTACACCTCTTGTATAATTCCGATTGGCGAGACCTAAAAACCACTCTGAAAGGCAAAGACACACCCCGCCGAGATAAAATCCCGACACGAACCCTGAGGAACAAAGCCAAGCCCCGGGAACCGAGGACCGAAACAAAGGCAACGGTTTAGGTACGGCACATATACGTTTAGTCGTGCGGTGCACCTGAAACAAGAGCCCTTACAACGCGATTCACACTAAGAAATAAACACATTGTGCCGACAATGTCGGCTGAGCTGCAATGGTTTGATTCAATGAATAATACTCATGCACTGTCGTGGGATGTCACCATCATGTGCGGACAGACTGTAGTAGCACCTTCTTAAAGTAGTGCGCCTCTTGCATAATTCGTTGGCGAGACCTAAGAACGGCTTTGTCATCCAAAGACACACTGTACCGAAATAACGTGTCAACAGCAATTCTAAGAGAACGGACCAAGCCCCGGAAACCGAAGACCGAAGCGAGGCCAACGTTTTCGGTACGGTACATATATATTTATAAGCGCAGCGTACCTTATACCATCGTCAGCAAGATGTGTTTAGTCCTAATAAGTGTGAATCGCATGATCCGGACTCGTGTGTGAGGCGCACTACGCTAACAGACGTATATGTACCGTACCGAAAACGCTGGCCTTGCTTCAGTCTTCGTTTCCCGGGGCTTGGTCCGTTTGCTTAGCGTGGCTGTTGGCATATTATCTCGGCAGAGTACGTCTTTGGATGTCAGAGTGGTTTCTAGGTCTCGCCAATTGGAATTATACAAGAGGTGTACTACTTGAAGAGGGTGCTACTGCAGTCCGTCCGCCAATGATGGCAACGTCTGACGGCAATGCATGAGTCTTATTCATCGGACCGAAGTCTTGCATATCCACCGACATCATCAGCAAGATGTGTTTGGTCCTAATAAGTGTGAATCGCATGATCCGGACTCGTGTATGAGGTGCACTATGCTAACAGACGTATATGTACCGTGCCGAAAACGCTGGCCTTGCTTCAGTCTTCGTTTCCCGGGGCTTGTTCCGTTTTCTTAGGGTGGCTGTTGGCATATTATCTCGGCAGAGTATGTCTCTGGATGTCAGAGCGATTTCGGGCCTTGCTCACTGGAATTGTACAAGAGGTGCACTACTTTAAGTGTGCTACGACAGTCCCTCTGCACGACATGATGGCGGCATCTCACGGCAATGCATGAGTCTTATTCATCGGACCGACGTCTTGCATTTCCATCGACATTGTCAGCACGACGTGTTTAGTTCTAATAAGTGTGAATCGCATTGTCCGGACTCGTGTGTGAGGTGCACTACGCTAACAGACGTATGTGTACCGTACCAAAAACGCTGGCCTTGCTTCAGCCTTCGTTTCCCGGGGCTTGGTCCGTTTCCTTAGGGTGGCTGTTGGCATATTATCTCGGCAGAGTACGTCTTTGGATGTCAGAGCGGTTTCTAGGTCTCGCCAATTGGAATTATACAAGAGGTGTACTACTTGAAGAGTGTGCTACTGCGGTCCGTCCGCCAATGACGGCAAAATCTGACGATAATGCATGAGTCTTATTCATCGGACCAAAGTCTTTCATATCCACCGACATCGTCAGCAAGATGTGTTTAGTCCTAATAAGTGTGAATCGCATGATCCGGACTCGCGTGAGGTGCACTACGCTAACAGACGTATATGTACCGTGCCGAAAACGCTGGCCTTGCTTCAGTCTTCGTTTCCCGGGGCTTGGTCCGTTTGCTTAGCGTGGCTGTTGGCATATTATCTCGGCAGAGAACGTCTTTGGATGTCAGAGTGGTTTTTAGGTCTCGCCAATTGGAATTATACAAGAGGTGTACTACTTGAAGAGGGTGCTACTGCAGTCCGTCCGCCAATGATGGCAACATCTGACGGCAATGCATGAGTCTTATTCATCGGA